CCATGAGCTCACGCTATGCCATTCGATCACTTCCACAGTCCCCACCTTACCTTACCACCCCCCCCCTTCGACATTTTGTGACTTCGTCTGCTTCTCCCCTCTATGAACCCCAAAGTCAACTAATTGGTCAATGATAACTATCGTAAAGCTTGCCATTTAACATTTATATCAAATGGCAGGCGTTTTGATGGTGGTTCATTAGCCCTTTAGTTGACTTCAGGCTTCACAGAGGAGAAGGAACATCAGAGTGAAAAAAGTTGAGAGAGGGGGGGGGGGACAGAAGAGTGTTTCGAAAATGTAAAAGAGACAGACACAAAGGTAGAAAAAAGATGAGGTGAGTACTATAGAAGTTGCCGAATGACATACAGTGGGATGATGGTAGTTTAAAGTTAAAAGTTAACTACCGATTGATAGACATTTTTAGTGTATGAGTATAGGTTACCCAGGGTGCACCACGTGGAGGTAAGTCATTCGCACACCCCGCCATTTAACGTAAATTCATTTTGACCCAATAGAGCGGAAGTCGTAAAATACTCACTACTTGCAGTTTTCAGTAGAATAGTGCTTTACAATTTTATAGCAATTGATTAAATCAAGTCGTCAGTGTGGAATTCAAAAGTTGAAGACGCGTGCAAAATTGAAGAAGCAAATATACTTAAATTTAGAATAATGTCAAATGTAAACCTTTCCATAAACTACTTTTTAAAAGTGTGCTTAATTACTTCAGATAATGGAATTCAATTTCTTTTGCTTAACTTTTTTATTAACTTTTTACCAGTTTAATTTCTCCATTTACAAGTAATGGTCTTGCAGACTTGAATGCTTATTCAGAGCTAATACTGGGTTATTCGTATGGAAACCCATCAAATACCCTTTCCAATATAGATTAAGAATGGAACCCGAATTGCTGAAATGACTATCTGCATTGTGTCTTTGATCTGGTTAGAAATAATCAACATACCAAAGCCAAACAAGGAAGCCGTTGGCTATTTCAAGTATCTGATGGTAGGAAGTGGTGGATCACAATAACAACAACAAGAAGAACAAGAAAACACTTTAATGTTAATAAATTGTTATTCAAGCGGGTGGCCGTGTTGTTGACGCTGTGTGTGTATTGATGAAAACATGAGCGACGAGGGAAATGTAAAGTTTCCGTCTTCTAGTTGATGATGTAGTTAATTTGGGCCATAAAATCCTTCAGGTTGAATCAAAACACCCACTTAGACACGGACTGCGAATTCTCCTAAATAGTGTTCAATTTAGAAAGGGACGCGGATTAGGGACATAGGTGATTTTGGTCCTAAAACCAACGATTTATACCCAAGTCAGGTTGTCGGTCGTTGCGTTTTGACCTTCATGATCTTCATGTGCTGGATAAGGACTAAAAAGATAGCAGATAGATATGTTGAAAAGCTCACTGCACAATTACAGAGCACATGATGTATCTACACGAAATGCTGATACAAGTACCACCTAGTTATTGAATTCCGAATTGCTGACATAAGGAAAATTCTAAATTTCGCATACAGAAAGCCAAGTTACATCGCCCTAATATATGATATGATTGTTGAGAAAGGGGATGCAGTTGGAAAACAGAATTATAATGAGAAACCTATCCCACACTTATTAGAAAGGGTGTGAGAGGAAATGGTTGGCATTAACATTCGCTCTCTTCGGTCCTTTGCATTAACACACGTAAGAGGAGAAAACACCGCAGAATAGACCATCACAGGAACGTAAACATTCCACGAAATGGTAGAGTTTTTTGTCCGGTGGGTGATTTCTTCAAGATCCATGCAAAAATTGGAAGGTTGAACGAGGTGTAGTGGATTGCTACTTTATTAAAGCCTGACCGACTCAGAAATCTCTATGGCAGATCCCTAAGTAAAGCCTGACTGACTTAGAAATCTCTATGGCAGATTCGCCAACATCTAGCTCCGGCTCAGAAATTTCTATGGCAGATTCTCCAACATCTAGCTAGGAATCAGAAATCTCTATGGCAGATTCTCCAACCTCTAGCTAGAGAACAGCTAAGCTATAGCTCAGCTATAAAGAAAACAGACGTGTAGCACGGAGCGCGTTTATATCTGTGGCAGATTCTCCTACATCTAGCTAGACTCCCAGAACGGCAGATTCTCCAACGTCTAGCTAGACTCCCAGAACCAGGGAGATTCTCCTACATCTAGCTAGACTCCCAGAACCAGCTAAACCATAGCCCAGCTATAAAGGAAACAGACGAGTAGCACGGAGAATTCTCCAACATCTAGCTAGACTCCCAGAACAAGCTAAGCTATCGAACCAGCTAAGCTATAGCCCAGCTATAAAGGAAACAGACCGAAACTAGCTAAGCTATAGCCCAGCTATAAAGGAAACAGACGATAATTCGGAACACGTATATTCAGTCACGTAATGATCAGAAAAGTGTGCACGGAGCACGTTTATTCAGGACGTATCTTGCGGATCAAGTTAATACGTTTATTCAGTACGTATATTGATAGCGAAGTGTAATTCGTTTGAACTTTAATAGCTAAATATTTCTGAGTAGTGTTCTATAGCAGGATTTCTATTTGGTTATTGATGGAGTGTCCCACAGAGGTATCAACCGGTGATGCGAAAAGACTAATTCAAAATACCGATACTTGATGATATTGGAGTCTGGATGAGGTCTGTCTTGATGTTTTTTCGAACCGCCAAAACCCTCTGATATTGATTAACTCTTTAACGTCCTTAGCACAGTACAGTGCACTTTCAAGTTAAACTCCATTGGTGATAAACTCGAAACAGAAGATCCAATGGTAAGAAATTAAAAAAATAAACGCCCACCTTTAGTTAAGAAAAATGGGTCAGTTCTCCAATGTTACAAACCCCCCCCCCCACTCCCACATCCCCACAAATTAGAAATGACTTCTAAGAAAACGACATCTTTGTCGTCAAAAAAAGAAAAGAAAAACTACGAAAACAAAGGAGGGGCTTGCAAATGGTGACGAAAATTAGATTATATTTAAAATTCATAGTAAATGGCACTTAGTTATTAGAAATGGGCAATTTCTTATCACAACTCCTAATGCTAAAAACATTATTCTTTTCATGTGGTCCCAAAAGGGTCAGTACATTCTCTCACCTTGAAGTGAACCAAGTTATGCATTTCTATTACCAGTGTCTTAAGAAAGTTCACTCTTAGGACAGTAGGGTCCTCTTTCAAGACAAGATTCATTGGTTTTAGGCTCGTAACCGATGGCACTATTGCCGTCTGAAACATATTCACTACGTGTCAATAGTCTTCGTCTGATACACCACCAAAACTCATCACGTCAGTAACATCAGTCTGCTGTGGGACACGTGTGTGAGTGCGGTTGGGTGAATTATTAAAAAAACTAACCCTTGAGGGTTAAGTGCTTTCTATCGCCGCAATTTGTTTAGACACTATCCTTGTTTAAAAATTTTAATTTCCTCCATTACAATAGATGATGATGATGATAATGATAATGAAGAACTGATGATTGGTGTAACAACTTAGTAATTCGAGCTAAAATAGTCGGCGATTTCTGGTCAAGCAACTAGCTGTTTCAGATATGCTGTTCACAATAACGAGAGCGATTCTATTACATTTTTCAGTTACCTGAGACTGAAATCCTTGGTTTTTTGAAGAATTAGTTTTGAAGTTTACATTTTCTCCCAATTTTTTTATTACATTATTAAATAGCACAAAGATTTATGTAACTTTTGGTCCTAAAATGTTAGTACGCTATAAGTATCAGCAGCCATTTGGCTAGTTGATGTTTCAAATCATCTAATTGGTTAATTCAATATTAGTCGAAAGGGGGGGGGGTGGGAGGCATGACACCTCACATTTTTCAGACAATCGAAATGAGTCCACGTTGAGGTGAGACTAACCACAAAGCGGGGTGGGGCAGGGACATTAGAACCATACACTAAGAAGTCACCTGGACCATACCACGAGCACAGTTATCGTGGACTCTCATTTGAATAACAACTCTTTGTCCATAACCATGTTCTTCCCATGGATGAACCAATCTAATTATCAATATGCAGCTCAACCACAGCATAATCAATGTTTGAATTATCAAGAACAGAGTTATACATCCTCATCATATTTGGACCGAAGTTCAATGGATTTTTCGACTACACCGTTTGGCGACCAAGAAGAACATGATGAAGTCACTGACCCATCAGATAGTCTTCATAATAAACGCGAACGATTTCGAGTTAAGCAGATGAATGCTGCTTTCGACCTGTTGAGAGAACACCTTCCAAATCCTGACGCAATCAACAATCAAACGTCAGGTAAACGTCTCAAGAGCAGGCGGCGAAATTGTCGAAGGATTTCCAAAGTGAAAACCTTGAGATTGGCAGTCCAGTATATCAATGATCTACTGAAAATTCTGGAAGATCTGAACAGAGCATGAGTGACTGATTCCATTGACGAATATATCTATTTTTGTATGTACCTTCATCCCAATGTTTAAATGATTCTTGCAA